TTAAAAGGATGACTCAGCCATCAAGGTATCCCAGCAACAAATGGGAAAGAAAAAATTCCCAAAGAAAAGGAACAAAAGGAGAAGAATTTTAACCCACGACAAAACACCAACTCCAGCATCATCTGTGTTGTTTGGTAACAGAAGCTGTGTTTCTAAGGTTTATATTTATACCAGGMTTTCCAAATTTGTATTGTAAAGCCTGTGGGGTTAATGGCAGAGTCGATCTTGTTCAGGAACACAYTGACAGCTCAGCGAGAGGTATAAATGTGTTTGGGAAGTCTTCCCTAACCCCTTGGCCTGCTGGGGAGTAGCACCAGGTGAGGGGAGGGCAGCTGCTCCTGCTGCGACCATCTCATCTCTCAGAGTYGCGTGGCTTGAATGGCAGGATGGAGCTGTGCTCACACTGTGTGGTAAGGACAACAAGGAACTACACCACAGTCTGAGGCTGCAGTCCTAGCAGGTCACTTTTGGTACTTCAAATCCCTGCTTTGAATATTTGACTTAATTTAAAGCCCAGCTGACCACAGGATCCCATTCACAAAGCTGCTCATTCCTTTACTGCAGAAACTGAGTAATGTGTTACATTTTGCGTGGGCGAAACCATAACTCAGACAATGGCATGGCAAAAATGAGTGAAATTGTGAAACATCATCCATTTCTCCTCTGTTTCTGCCTTTTCCTTATGCTGATGGGCAGGAAAAAGGGGCAGAGCTGCTGCCATTTTCCTGCCCATCTCTTCCTACCCTCTGCAGGTACACCTAGCTCTTCCTGCAGGTCAGAGCACAGGTCTGCCTGGCCATTGTGCCTGTGTTCGCCCCTCCACCCTACTATGCATTTCTGAAATCACAGGACAAAGCCTGGCCCAGAAAGTCCTCACCAGCACAAGCAATTTCTGTCCCTGCTGGCCCTTCTCACGTGAGTACAAACATCATGTACCTAGGGGAAAGTTTAGGAGGAATTCACTTGCTGCTTGTGTTTGTTGAAGGTCTTTTGCAAGGTCTTTGCAAGGTCTTTGCAGGTCTTTTGCAAGCTACCACTGGCTTGTCCCTGTATCCAGCAAGAAGAAGCTGCAGTATCAGTGAAGAATGCAAAGGAGTTGCGTGGTATTTATGAATCAGCAGCCCCCTGGAGGAACAAGTCATTAGGCAAATGAGATAAAGAGATGCAATGGGCTCCAAAAATGCCTCCACAATTCAACAGTAAGCATTGYTATTGTAGTTGCTTTACTAAGTTAACCAGAGAGACTCAAAAACTGAAATACAGACTTTATACAGTACTAGTTGGGAGTACAGATAAACAAAACAAACATTCTTCAAGAATTAGTTGTGGTTTATTWATTACTTGTTTTTTAAAATATCAATAAATACTGAAAAATATGTGAAAATTAAAAAGAGAAAAAGATAAACAATACCAACAACTTTAAATTGTCCCAATATTTATAATTTAAGTAGATTTTTTAATACTTTAGCAATAGGTATTTCATTCAGAAGTCAATACATCATTAAAAAAGGAAAAGAAAGTAATCAGCATATTGCTGACRTAAGACCAGGGAAGGGGTCACAACTAGAGCACAAAAATGACACTTTCAGTTAGAACTGTATTACAATTTTTCAGGAATACTCTTGATGAACACCSTATATGTATGAGAAAGAGACAGCACCACTATTACAGGCAAGAAATGATGATCAGTTGTCATTATCCATTTTCCAAAAATAAAATTAGTTAAAGGGGAAAKGGAGAMTAAAAAAGGAAAGGRGRAAAAAATAAGGAAACTTTTMAAAGCACCTCTTGATAATTAGTCTTCTGAGGCAAATGTTACGCGCACTACCTCCCCAAGAAACTAGACAAAGCTCTYCCATTCCCCRTGTATTTCCTTCCATTTATTTTCATGAAGAAAGGTTTGAGAGAGCAGAGTGCTGGGAAGAAATGCTGCAAACCTCTAAATTAGTAARCGAACTTCCAGCATCACTGTTGTATTCTGGGTAGGAGGAACTGGAAGAAATTATGTTCTTCAGCCTCTGAAGTGCAATGATCAATAGCAAAAGGAGGAAAGCTAAGAGACTGAGGAATATAGAAACATATACATAGATGTTGGATAGACGGACGGGCGATGAACCCACTGAAGTTGAAAGGGATGTGGGATACAGCTCCAGAAAAGTTCCATTTTCCATGTTTCCAACAAATCCAGATGAAGGGTCGCGTTCTGACATTACTGGGTTTGCGTTTTAAAAATCACAACAGATCTTGTATTCAAAGGCAGTTTTAGTAGCATAAAGGGGGTTTATTTTAAGCRAACATTTTTCCATCACAATAGTGAGATGACAAATCAGCCGGGTGAACAAATTTATCCTTTACTGCTCAAGCCCAGGACAATTTAAGATTATATAGTCCAGAACTGCAAGGGAAAAAAAAAAAAAGCAAGATTAACTTACTAGCAGATAATGTGCACCTGATATAAGTTAGACCTTAAGAGTTAGATTTCTTAGCACAAAGCTGCAATTCTTATAATATTAGCTAGCAATTATCTGTATATCTCAATTTTCCAAAATGCAGGGATTAGAAGAAATCCTGCTGAATCCTAATGTATTAAAATTGACCCTTCCCAACCATTGTGAACTGCAGGATAGCACAATCAAAAACATACTTTATATGAGACAGAGATATTGGAATCCAAATTTATCTTGTGAAAAAATCTAGTCAGGGAATGAAACAGCCCCTCAAGACTTCAGCACCTCAACCTGGACAAACAAAAGCACTCAGTATCACAGTTGATGATGAWTCCATTAGCCACTCACTCCACAGTGTCTTGCCTAGAGGTACCCAGAAAACTTGCCAGACCTGCTTTCTTACTGTATCTTTAAAAAATATTTTGAATGGTTTCAAATATCAAAACACACCTCACTAATTCTGCCATGGGGATCTCAATGGCCGGCATGTTTCAGGGAAGTGATGAAGCTTCTGACACCTACAAACAAAATCCCAAGGATTGGGCAGCACGAGAGGACTATCTAAGGGCTATGGACTAAAGGTTAGATTCCAAATGTTGTTTTATTGTTTATTTATTGTGTTTGTTGCTCTATAGTGGAGCTTTTGGTAGTCATAATCAAGCATCCCAATGGCCTGAAAAGATATCCAGGAGAACAAAACTGCATCTGCAAATAGCAGATAAAAATATTCCTACCTCTGTGGTATATAAGTCATAGTCATGCATAAAATATATTAAACTAAAACCATTTTATAACCCTAATAGTATTTAGTCCCACAGGAAACAGTATTTATTGTACCTTGTGAAATAAGTCACAACAGACTGAACAAAGAGAGATCCTTACAAGATTATACTCCTTTTGAACTGTCTTTAATTTAGTGATATGAAATTAAYTAATGAAACAATATGTGCTCATTTCATGTTCTGGAAGTAGTTAAGTGTGTTATAGCTAATTTATCTGTTTTAAAAGATAGGCTTTGATATAGCAGATGATTATTCTTAATTACTTGTCATAATGAAAATCAGATCCATTATTAACTGAATTGCTCTGTAATAACTGAAGGAATTAATTCACATGATTTTTTAACATGGCAGAAGTTGAAAGCCTTAAAATTTTTCACAAATTTGAAATCTACTACATTCTACTTTTACCATTAGCACTTTTGACCCTCAAACTACAAGGAAAACTTTGGCACTTTTTGGGACTTTTTTTGAAGTTGGTGGAAAATGTATAGTATTAAACAGGACTAATCAGAACCTCAGTTAAGCAGAGATGGAAGTGTTTTGCTAAATTAGAGCTTTTTTAGGTCTTACAGTGTCACGCTGGCTATTTTTTAAATGAGTATTTTGTAGTGAGATCAGAGACACTGTAAACTCTGATTCCAAATGAAGCCACAAGTAGTTTTATTCAGTGCACCACAGCTACCACTTTGGCTCTGGTTCCTGCTTCTGCTGGGAGATGAAGGTAAGAGGTCAAGTGCCATGAATTGTTTGTTTCTCTCACCCTGATCTTCCCAAAGGAAGGATCCTCCCAAAGAGTCAGATGTCAGCTTCACTTTTTTGTTAAGTAATTGTTTTGGTTTTTTTTTTTTCCTGAAAACTAAATGCAACAACATCGTAACATTTAGCCCAAACCTAGTCACAAAAAATGATTGGGAATTTTGCCACTGACTGCCAAGTACAATGGTAAAGCTGGTAAACTGCAATAAACCTGCTGTCTTTCCAAAAGCCATAAACTGATCAAGGTAATTACCTATGGAGGCAAAGTTTCCACATTCTGTAGTGGTSTCTGCCTTTCCCTCATCTGCTGTTGGAAAGCTGAGTTGGTTTAAGGCAAAGAAGGAATTGAAAGTGTTGTTCCTGAATGGCTGCAGATAGAGAGGAGCTCAGACTGTCTGACAGAAGAAGGCTTTCAACTAACCATGCCTGAAAACTCCTGGGACAGATAAACTGGGACCTGTCTGCTGCAGGACTCAGATTTTGTAGAGTGGCTGGATCTGGATTACTTCGTCAGAGGCACCTGTGCAGTGCCAGGACAGGATTGTGTGATTTGAGGAGGATTTCTGAGTCATGGAGTGCAGCCTTACTGCAGAAAGCCCCAGGTGATGCTCTGCCTGGCTGACAATGGCTGGGTTTTCCTGCTGCTGTTGCTCCATTGTTGCACAGCCTTTGCTGATGCACAAACTGCCTTGGAGATTCACCAAATTCACTGTTCCACACAGACTCTGCCTCCACACGCTGCTGGTTTTAGATGTAAAAGAGAGCAGAACCTTATTCTGCTACTCTGGTCCTCAAATATGAGGGTTGGCACAAWAAGGAAAGGCTCTCCAAGACACATGGTGTAATTTATAGATTCTGGCCACTTCAAACAGAGTCACTATTTCAGCATATTCTTCCAGCTGTGCATTGTTTCTCCATTCATGTTCTTGGTATAAATCCCCTTTCTCACATGAGGATAACCACTCTTATTCTAAGGGYAAGCCAATCTGGCAGGCTCACTTCGAGTTTTTTATATTTCCTTTTATCCTGTGGTAAGTGGGAGATAGGCAAGGTGGCATTCACCAGAAGGTCAAACTGGGCAGGTGAAGGATCAGGCAAGACATTGCTGTGTAAGGGGCCATCCCCAGGCACCAGGCAGTACCATGGGGAGCCATGCCAAAGCTATCCCCTGTTTGYATATCTGATGGTACCTGCCAGAAAATCCATTTGTAAGAAAATGCAAATGTGGTCAGGAGCAGAGGCCTCACAATTAGCATATGCCCTGAGTGCCAAATTATATGTAACATATATAATTTAATCTTTAGCATCACTGAGACAGTAGCCATTTCCCAGTTCACAGACTAAAGTGAATATTAAATGAGACTGCAACACTCTCCAGGATGGCATGGAGAGATTTTTCACAGTCCCGATGTTGTAAATACTTTACTGTGGACATTGTATTTCTCCACACATCTTGATGCAACATCTCTACTTCTCCATGCTCAGTCAGATATCTTTTAATGGAGCATACTCACACCAATGAAACCCTAAAAATTGAGRAATGGGAAGCAAAGATAAGTCTGGYAGYCTCAATTTCTTGAGAGTTTATCAGCCACAGAAAAACACTTCGTTTTCTTGGTTCTTCCTATAGTTTTGTGACTACAAGCTGAGAAATACCTCAGCTCTTTTCAGAGGCTTCAAAATGTTTAATCAGAGAGATAAATTTGATGTCAAAGAAAATCAGAGTTTTTATACTACATAAACTGACATATTTTTTACAATCTCCTATGAACTGTTTCTTCTTCCTTCCTGTATTACCAATATTGCCCTTTCAGCAAGTATGTAACACAAAGCATTTAATGCCAATAAAAATATATTTGCATGCTTGTACTAAAGGACTGAGTGAGTCTTATGTACCAGGAACATTTCAGCCTTGAAAGCCAGTATGCCCTAGCCTGGGAAAAYGTGGCATTTTAACATGCAACTAAATAAGACAGTAGCTCTAGACAGAACAAAAAGATGTAAGCAACATTTTATTCCAGTGAAAAGGTAGGTTGGAAAGGCAAAAATTAATTATAGCTTGGAGTTTACCAAGAATATGATCCTTAATACTTCTTCTTCTTAGACACACGCCTTTGGCAATTAAAAGATCACAAGTAAGTAGGTTGCTTCTTTTTTTCATTATGGATGGACCCTCTAAAAGCAGAGAATCCCTTTTCCATTCTGCCTGGGAAACAGGATCMATTTCCAACTGACTCAATAAAATAGATCTCAGAAGGAAAAGAAAAACTATTTCCTGCCACAAGCAAAGTTTTCCTTTTAATTTATGATCTAATTTCATTTTTTAATGATTTAATATGATTTAAATTTATGTCTTTGAAAATCTAAGAAGATAAGTGCCCAGATGGCTTGGTGGCAGGTTAAAATCAAGTTATATTTTTTGGAGGAGCTTTTGTGGGGCTGGAAAAAGGAAACTCTTACCGCCATAAGGATACTTAGATTAAATCAGATAGGTCCCAATGATTCTCTAATTTACATTTTCCATGGATATGTGGGTTATAGAGTCATTTATAGAAATGTAAATCAAAGGCATCATGACCTGGGATCAGACCCAGAACCTGTGAGATGAATCTGGTCTTTAAATATAAAAGAAAAATGAGCAAGGAGAAAGAACAAAATACTTACAAGCAGGAAGAAGTTATGGAGATAGAAGCTGAATGTCCAATGCACAGGATGTGATTGATGATCCCTCCCAAATCTAAAGGAGCTGCATACTGAGAAAAATCCCTATAAAAAAAAAGCAAATAAAAGCTGAGGAGTTTAGTAATAACTACAATAATAATAAAATAAAGAAAGGGCAAGTGCTGAATTTTGACTGCTCTTACTGCCAGAAATTTCAGAACAAAACCAAACCAACCAGAATCCTGGCTTGTGTTTTGCTCCTGCTAGCAACATTCTTCTGCTGCCCAGATACAGCACTGCATGTGCAGTATCAAAACCACAATCCTGAACTCTGCTTTACAGACAGGCTTTCATGACACCTTTTTCCTCTTCTGCAATGTGCTCCAGGATCAAGACAAACATCTGTCCTCTGGCAYGTTTTTTAAGCACAAGAACACTCTATCTGCTCTCCAAATCATTTCACATTATACCCTGAAGACTCAAGGTCTGAAGACCTGCCAGGAATCAGATCTTTTGGATTACACACTATCGTTTATTCATTCTCTTTATTTCAGGCTATCTGCAGTTTAGGTTTTCATGTACCTGAAATATCCAAGCCRGATATGTTATGCACACAAAAACAGAGAGGATAATTTTGTGTGCAACATGCATTCAATAATTAAAATTAAAACATAGCCCCTGAATTGTTTTTAATAAAGCAAATTACATTTCTTGTATATGAAGAAGCACTCCCAGATGATGCAGATTAAAGCAAAAGAGGCRCCACTTTCAAAAAGATCATCCCTTCTTGGAGGGAAAAGACACTTTCACAATCACTGTACATCTTAGAGGTCTGCCCCTTCAGCACATTTAGTTTGACTGTGTTAGAGAAGCAGATCTCTGAKGATGGATGTTAATTGTTGTGCTGCTTTCATCCTTTCAATCACTTATGGTTTAAGCCTCTCCAAATTCAATTAAAAAAATTATCTAGTGCAGCTGTTAAAAGACAGCATTGTTGAAATCCAAATGTTTTGATAACACTGAYGATACTAATGTTCCACTCACAGAGAGTCAGGCAGCTGCTTGACCTTCTCTGTACAGGAGAGGCTGCAGGTGAACCCCAAGGTCAGCTGTCCCAGAGATGGCCCCAGCACACGCTCTGGATGTGAGGGCATGCACCCTGTCACCTTGTCCAGAGCTGCTTCTGAGGCTGAGGCAGGTGTGGCACAGGCTGGAGACGGGGTGCAGCAGCCCCTGTGTACTTYTTCTCTGGCAAATATGTCTCACATTGCCAAGAGTTCTACCCTATGCCCCTCAATTTTGTCTGCTGGTAGCACAGACGCTTTCCCTCCCCTTTACTTCTTTCCTGGGAGAAAGAGGCATAAAGAAAGATGTCTGCAACAGGGCTGTACCTTCAACCAAGAGAAATATAAATGATTTTGCTCTTTTGTCTTGGCAAAGTCTTTGTTAATTCATCTCTCCCCACGTACATTGTCCATTTAGCCCTCCACTCCATACAACAGTGACACAATCCCCAGCAGAGCAAGGGGAACAGAGCGTCCCAAATCCTCAGCTGATTAAACACGCAGTAAAAAAAACATAAGACATCCTCGAGACTTCCTAAACGCAAACATTCAAATTCAAATGGCAAGTGTACACAGTGAGAGGGGGAGGGCTGAGGTGTTAATCATCTTTGAAGAGCAGAGAGATACTTGGACCGGAACATCAACAAGCTTAGCTTCAGAAGATCCCTTGGCATGCAYAGCTGTATCCCACAGTCCTTCAACCTCTTGCACCACTCTAAAGCCCTTCACAGCCATTTTCACTGTTTCAGCTGCAGCAGTAGCTCACAGAAGGATTTGGCCGGAACAGTGTATTCATTCTCAATGCCAATAAGATATGCAAGGAGCAGGGATCTATCTGTTCCCTGTATCTCCCAGGATATGGAGAGGGGTAAGGAGTCTCACTGCATTACATCTGGAACCTCTAATGGGGAAATGGGGCCCTCCTGGTCCTGCCTCCACACCATCAATTTCAATCTCAACACAAGGACACACAGTCACCAAGGAAATCAGTCTCCTTCCTGGGCTGGTTTGTTAAAAATATTTATTTCCCTTTTTATTTTTTAATTTCCTGTGAAAAATTACAGGTTGCTGAAAAAGATCCACCAAAAACTCAACAGCCTACTCATTGTTAACCATAGTAATAGGTTGTATTTGATTTCCTTATTGCCCCTCACACACCCTAAATAACTTTTCTTGCCACTCTCAGCCAAATTCAACCCAGACAGAAACCTCAAACTGATCTGAGCTCCTAAAGTTTAATGACAGTGGRTGATCAGGCAGAGAAGACATGAAGGCTCACACAGCCATTTGGTTGCCCATAATAAATTTAAATCTTGGTAATTGACTTTTACAGTCAAAAACAGCCACTAAGGTGTCACTGTCAAAGTAACAGACCCCAGATACCCGGTGAAAAGGAGGTTCCAGGGCAAGGATAGCCAGGGAAGAGGAGAAACCAGCAGGTATCAGGCATCCTTAATTTCTGGATTTTGTGTACTGACTTCTTGTTGATTTCATGCAMCATCAGATTTGGAAGTTTTGTTTGGACAGTAAATGTAGTGTAATGTGAAATAACTGCTTAATGAGAAATAAAAATTCCATTAATTTAATAATGAATTACTTTTCCTCAGTGGAACAAGTAAATGAAAGTATTTCAGCCGCTCCTGCCTTGTTGCCTCCTTTCCTGATTGAGTCTTCCCATCCCTGCTACCCCTTCTTTCTGAGGCTGCAAATGGCTGTGTGTAGCACCCCACTGACACTCCAGATAAGCCTCTGGGGAGATGCCATCCAGCACGTGTGTGTGGCATAGGGTGATTTGTACTTAACMGCAGAACAAACAAACAATTGAGCTTTGCTGCCTCACTCCTGACTCTTCACATGGCTCCTGATGAACACCATTTTTCAGATGGTGAACACCATTGAACAGCACAGGGGAGGGCTGTGTGCTGTGTTYGCCCTTCCTGAAGCCACCACAATTCTCATGGGGCAGTGCTTCAGCTCCTGCACATCGTTTACTCAGACACAAACCTACCAGATAAAATACCAAGCCCCAGAGCAAGCAATTCTTGTTATCAGCGCTTGCTTTCACTTTCCATCATACTAAACCTAAAAAACTTAAACCCTCAGGTTCAGCTCCAGGTTGAGGGGAAAAACCCCTCAAAAATATCAGACATAGTCCCCTTCATCTACAAGGAGAGCAGTTTTAGGACAAAGCATGGCTAAATCTGGACCTGAATGGATTTAAGGGGTCCACTGTCTCTCCCAGTGCTGCAGCACAGCATCCTGCCTGACGTTGATGCCACGGCTGTATCTCCCACGCTCCATGTGGGCACATCTACTCCCATCTCGAGACACCTCTGGGCACACTTCAACAAGGAGCTCTGCTGAACACTCAGTGCCCTTTCACTTTGCTACTCAGTGGGGTTATTGGTCCTTAACTAACAAAACCATGACTCAGGAAGTAGAGTCCTGAATAACATGAAAACACTTTTCTATTGCAAAAATTCAGCTAATACACTCATTTCAATATATTTTATAAAAACAACAGGTATAAATCATGCATTTTATAAATCCATATCACACCCAAAAATGTCAAGCAGATTTAGTTTTAAACTTCTYAGGAATCTTGTCACAATATAAAGCTAGGACATAATTTTATACACTTGGTTCAACAGAAACAGAAATTTCTGTTAATGCATAATTTTGTTTCAGATTTCTTTTCTCTCCACAAAAAAAAAA